GCCCCAAATGACGATTAGTTGGTCAGATATAGCCCCATACGATTATGATTGGTTGGGCAAATATAGCGCAAGAATAAAGTGATAATAGACAGAGACCCAAGAGGAGGTGGAGAAGGGGGGAGGGGAATATAAATAAAATATATAGCCCCAGAAGATGATTGGTTGATTAGATATAGCCCTAGACGATGGTTAATGAAAGAGGTTAAATCTAAATACGTATAACACAAGAGGAGGGGTCTACATTTATAAAATAGGCATGTTTAAACCAAAAGAAAATGACAACATTTAACTCTGAAAATGGCGAAAGATGAAACGCAAAAGTGGTCTAAAAATTGGTATTTTTCACACAACCTTTCTCCAGTAACAGAAGAGTCGTTACGTTATAACGATATAGATATGAGATATATGTATGAAAAAAATAGAACTTAAACTACATGATATGCTCTACTTCGAAGCATTATTTTCAAACATTCCGTGATGAAGGTTATATTCCTTTTAAATATCAAAGACAGAAACGAAATGTGTGTCGATTATTTTATTTTCTTTGGTTTGATCCATACGAATAAATTTTTCGTGTATCTGGAACGGAGTATGTAAAAAAAGTTAGACGAGTTGGTAACTTCAAGGAACTTGGTTGTTTCAATGAGTACTATTTCAAAATTCCAAACTTGGCAGAGTTTACTAGACTCAAAACAGTGAAACAATGTCCCATTTGTTTGGAAAATAACGTAAAATGTCATTTAAAACGTCTACAATGTCATCAATATTCTTGTTGTAAACAGTGTTTTAAGGGACTTTCCAACACCAAATCAGCGATGTCCTATGTGTCGTCATCAGTAATAATTTTCTGTGTATAGACATACCGTCATATATATATATATATATATATATATATATATATATATATATATATATATTATCACCAATATGAATAATAAAGTATGATTTTGTGTGTTTTTTTAGTCTGTTTTTTTTTCTTCTTCATTTTTTCTGTTGGTCTGTGTTTTTCAACACCAACTCTACAATATAAAATACTCATCAAATGTGCCAATGACTATATAAAACTTGTATCCAATTGTCCTTTAACCTTCAAGAATCTGAAGTCAATTTAACGACGTAATGTAGATCAAATGGCTGTTTAGAACTTTTTGTAAAATTTTATTAAACAGACGTTGTACAGGGTAATTAACTAACTTGGTGAATTAAAAAAAAAAAGACGGGGCATTCACAATGTACATCCAAAAGAAAAATCGTGTTGCTCACTAAATTTGTTAAAAACAGAAAAGACGATACAGAATACACTTCCTAATATATCTTTTATTATTATCTCTTTCCTTGTTGTAACATAGTCAAATGGAACACATATTTTATCATTTTGTTGGCATTACTATATTTCTTAATAAAGTCTGAATCTTGATACATATGCATTATTGTCATCTCCTAAGTGTTCCATATAATTAATTTCTTTAGCACCCTCATGCATTGCTCGCAATGCCTCAGTTGCATATCTAGCGTACAATGTTAAAGTTGTCCACTGGTTGTTGTTTATTGCAATTCTTTGACTATCCGCATCACCCTCCAATTCTCGATTAAAATTACTTTTCGATTATCAACATTACAGACTCTTATATCCCTATCATTGCCCAGATTTGCAGAATAGAGTATTTGCAGAATAGAGTATTTCCATTTTCAACTTCCAACGTTAATTTTATAAAACCTCTCGCAGTTATGGTGTATGTGTTCTTAAATAAGTTTTAATGTGACCGATAACTCCTCCTCCTCCTCTCTCTCTCTCTCTTGGGTTCCTACTCTAAAGCGGACCTTTTCGGTGCTATTTCATTAATTTTTCAACTGTCTCCTCCCACTTTTTTTAGGAATGCGAAGTGTCGCCATTTTATTCTTGTATAATTATGCATTGAACATCATCATGTGAATAATCAAGCAAAAGGAAACATCATCTTATGTTTACATAAATGCGTTTTATTCATCTCATATAATATGTATACAAAGAATGCCATTTATCTGACAATTTCTTCTGAAGTACTCTCTTTAATTGTAGAATCTATTTGATTGATTGATTGTATATTGTTTTACGTCCCATTCGATAATTTTTCACTCATATAGAGACGTCAACATATACAGGTGAAGGGCTTCAAATTTTGACCTTTACTCGGCACTCAGGGCCATTGAGCAGTGAGGGATCTTTATCGTGCCAACGCCTGCCGTGACACGGGGCCTCGGTTTTTAAGGTCTCATCCGAAAGACCTGCAACTTTCACTCCAAAGTGCCGAGCGCATGGCAAAGGAAGAGTTGCTACCTATTTTTTATCGACTTAGGTCTGTCGCGGCCGAGATTCGAACTCACGACCTCCCGATCACGAAGCGAGCGCTCTACCGACTGAGCTACCGTGAACGGTAGAATCTATTTGATGTTTTTAAATGTAACCACTGATTGTGATTTAAATGAATTCCTTCCGCTGTTGCATTATGCCCTGTAAAACGTCGAATATCTATGAACGATTTTTTTCCTTTTCACAAATAAGCACATAAATGTCTTCGCACATTGGAAATCTGTCGCTGTAAGGACACGATAGTTGTACTGTTGTTATATTTTTGCTTTTCCATTGATTGCAATTTCGAATTTCCAGTGCATTTGGTGTATTTCTTACCTCGCGTTCATTCTCCAGAATAACAGTGTTTACGGATACGAGTGTCATAATTGCAATTATCATACTATAAATGATCTATCACTGCCCCGATATGTCTCTTCCCAGAAACTCTGTCAGACCAATTTAGTTCCTTCTCACATTCCGTAACCATCAAATTGCTAATTGCTGAAGTAGAATCCATGTTCCCCCCCCCCCCCCATTCAACACAATGCAAGAATAAAAACAATTTTTATATGTTTTTCCTTTTATAGTTTACTTATGTTAACCCAAACACCCCTTTCTAATTGATTACCCCCATTTATAAACAAACACACACACATATTTATATATATATATTGCTATATATATTTCTTGCAGTTATGATTTTATTTGTACCTTTTTTTCTTATAACTATAGAAAATTTTCAAAATCATTCATAGCTTCGTTCATTCCTTTATTCTGTTGAAATAAACTGGGGATTACCCCGAATGTACAGAAACATGTTTCACATGAACATTATGAAACCAACAAGAACAAATAAAAAAAAACCAATGTACAGGAAAGCGTTTTACATGAAGACTATGGAACGAACAAGAACAAATTTAAAAAAGCAATGTACAGGAAAGTGTTTTACGTGCAGACTATGGAACAAACAAGTACAAAACACGAAAAAAAACACATGTACATTTGTAAAATCACGAAATTTATTTAAAGATGATGTATTGGTCAAAGAGAAATAGGTATAAAACAGGGAAAATACGGTCTAACAATGAATACCAACGCTGGACAGCAGCCATTGAAAAGTAAGGGAATTTTACTATTTAAAATTTAATTTTTTGCATGTTTCTTTCAGATCCTCTTGCACACTATCTAAGTTTTTGGATATCTTTTCAATCTCTGTAGAAATTTCATTTAACTCTTTCTTTAAAGTTTCTTGAATTCTTTTTTTCGAGACCAGTTCTCTTGTCAATCGGTCGTGTTCTTTCTGCATATTGTAAAGAACGAAATTTTAAGGACCTGAATTGACATCAAGGATTTCATCATCAGTCTGTGAAAAATATGGACTGAAAGAAAAGAAGACAAAATAATAGATTTACAAACTTAAATGAATATTTAAATTAAAGCGGGAAAATTCTAAAATTAAAATACCTATGAGAAGGAGATGTTATTTCCGGGAAAGTAGATCTAGAGGAGACCGGTGTAGGAGATCTAAAAAAAAAGAAAGTAAAAAGAAATCAAAATTGGGTAAATGACGACGGGGTGATGATAATAAATAAAAAACAAATCCGTTGTCCTGGACGTATATTAATACTTAAGAAAATGTATACCTAGAAGTAGCCGAAAAAGAAGCAGACTGTTGAGTAGATGATGATGACGATAATGCTGATAACGATCCAACAGTCGGTGATCTACAAAAAAAGTAAAGGGGGGTACTTAATATTTTATTTTGTAAAGAAAATTGATCTATAAAAAAAACCAAGATTTTCTGTTGAAAGAAAGTAATTAAACAATACCCACTTGGAGGTGTAAGATCAGAGACGGAGCTGATATTAATAGGTTCTTCAATGCTGGAATCGAGGAAACGCAACAATGTTATAATTGAAAACTTGTAATTAAAAAAAAATTAACACACATACAAAAAAAAAATACCTACTCCTGTAAATCAATCGAAGGAACTCTAAGATTGCTGCTCTTTTTTAACCAGTTCGAAGCATGAGAGAGAGAGAGAAAGGGGAGAGAGAGAGAGATTGACTTACATTTCTGTAATCAGTTGTTGAGCCATATTGTAAAAGCGGGAAAAAACTGGGAGATATCTTCGGTAGGATTGCCTCCGAAAATAGATAAAAAAACGGAATCATTTGAATCTTTTTATAAGCAAAATTTGAACTGCGTCAGCATTTAAATGCCCACTTGAATTAATGACAGAAACGAAAGACGAGTGCTTTCCTACTTTTAAAAACGTGTAACTAGTAAATGACATGAAAAAAAATTAAAAGTAATAGTTGTTACTGCATGTCCATGGATCACGTTGTACATAAATCAATTGTTGTGCATGCCATTAAGTTTAAAAAAAGAAAACAAAGATATTCAGGAAAAAGAAAGATTTAAACATACACAGTAAAACGTATGAAAAAATTACAAAAAAAAAATCGATACAACAAAAATACACATTAAACTTTTTACGAGATGAAGAAGAGGGGGGGGGGGGATACCCGCAAAAGAAGAAAACAATAAAATATAGTACAAGTATATTAATATCAATGATAATAAAGAAAGGACTATATATGATAAGAGCCAAATTTGGCCTCCTAAAAATCAACATTTTAGAATGATATTCAGATATATTAAACTGATATTTATTTTGTAGAAGAGATTATATTAGAAATATTTCCAATATATTTTTCACATTTATATGCACTTACTGGCTGTAAATGACATGAGAAGTAATGCTATTTTTGCTATCTAACAAAAAAAGCCAAAAATATGCTTTTTTTATGCCCCGGGATCGAAAGATCCCGGGGGTATATTGTTTTTGTCCTGTCTGTCTGTTTGTCTGTTTATCTGTCTGTCTGTTGTCAACTTTAACCTTGTCCATAACTTTTGATTGGTTGGAGCTATGACTTTCATGTTTCACATGTGTATTCCATGTGACAGGACCTTTCGTTGGGTACAATCATATTCGACCTTTTGACCTTGGAGTTTGACCCACTTTTGCAAAATTTTATGAGACTTTAACCTTGGCCATAATTTTTGAACAGTTAGTGCTTGGGGTTTCAAACTTCACATGTGTATTCCTTGTGACAAGGCCTTCCTTTGGAAACCAACAATTTTGACCTTGACCTAAGAGTTTGACCTACTTTTGAAAAACTTTACCTTGGCCATAACTTTTGAACAGTTGGTGCTTGGGGTTTCAAACTTCACATGTGTATTCCTTGTGCTAAGACCTTCATCTGGATATCAACCTCTTTAACCCTTTGACCTTGATCTAGGAGTTTGACCTACTTTTGAAAACCTTAACCTTGGCCATAACTTTTGAATGGTTGATGCTAGGGCTTTCATACTTCACATATGTAATCCTTGTGACAAGACCTTCCTTTGGATACCAACCACTTTGACCCTTTGACCTTCACATAGGAGTTTGACATACTTTCGAAAAACTTTAACCTTCCATAACTTTTGAATGGTTGGTGCTAGGGCTTTCATACTTTACATATGTAATCCTTGTGACAAGACCTTCCTTTGGATACCAACAACTTTGACCTTGACCTTGATGTTTTACTTACTTTTAAAAAACTTTAACCTTCGCCTTAACTTTTGAACAGTTGCAGCTAGGGCTTTCAAATTTAACATTTTTTATCTTTTGGCCTGGATTTTGCTTTGCATTTGAGAAACTTTAACCTTTGCCATAAGCTGCCATACGGGGGCATCAGTGTTTTACAAACACATCTTGTTTCTTGATGTTTTTTCTTATGGAAAACATGGTGCGCAGTGTAGAACATACATAATTTTTCTGTCACTAATTAGTATTGGATAGATACATCTTTGGTAAAAAAAAAATATAAAGTTTGTTCTAGGCTGCGCTCTATATTTTCTGGAAGAAAAACTGCTTGAAAATAAGCAGTTTTATACAAAATATGCTAAAATGGCGGGGAAAACGTGAACTTTATGATGTCATATTTCTAAAATAACGGCATTTTGATCAAATTAAAAAAGGACCAATAAAGGTCGCATGAATAATGAATGTTAATGTTTTTTTCATCAAAACTCTATCGATTTCTGGTCGAGCGCAGTACACGGGTACTGGCACAGGTCGGCATCCGTGGATTTCTGTGGGGTCTTCTCTCCTCCTCCACCACCTCCTCCACCAGTGCGACTTCCGCTTCCGCCTCCTCCTCCTCCGTACGGTATACACAAAACATATAAAACAAGGACATGAACAGGACAAGAACTATAAAAGTAGAAAAAAAAACATGTTTTAGCTGACATTTAATTAATATTTTCTCATAGATGATGGTCATTAACAGCTAGCAATTATAAAAATGAGCAACAAATAATAATGGAATATCAAAGAAAATTGTGTTAAAATGGTAATTTAATTTTTCACTTTATTTGTCGAAACAAGGGCATTTTTTTCTCCACATATCCAACCATCTTTATGGTCTCTTAAGGAACCTATGGAAAAACTGGTCAATTTTATAACCCTAACCCCTTTAACATGGTGAAATATTTGAAATCACAGTGGTCACTTTATTGTTCAGTTGATACTTTTCAGATTAGGGATGGCTGACAGAGATATTTGTGAAATGGAAGGAGATTTCATAGCATTCTTCAATAGCCTTTTGGAGTTGTTAGAGTTTTTTGAGGAGAAAGACGGATTTACTTATGATGACATTGAATTTGGCCAGAAAAGAGTAAGAGGAGCAATTAATACCCTATCATTCATTGAATCACATCCATCCTTTAGAAACCAGGCATCACCAGATTTACATCAATCTGTGGAAATTCTTCTGGATCATTTTAGTTATGTAAGAAAAATTATGCAAGACATTCAATCTCCTCGATGCAGTGTCCCAGCAATTGTGAATGGTGCAGGGGAGGTCTTGCATACAGGACATGTAGGCAGACCTACAGCATTTATAAACGTAGAGCAAGTGATTTATTTATTGAACCATGGGTTTAAATATACGGAAGTGGCAGTGGCCAGGATCTTTCTAATTCATAGAACCACATTGTGGAGGAGATTGAAAAATAAAGTGGATTTTCAAAGATACACAGAAATTGGGGATGAAGAATTGTCAACAATAATAAAGAACATAAAAGACCAGCATCCTCATAGTGGGGTTTCTTTAGTGATTGGACATTTACGATCAAATGGCATAATTGTACAACACAGAAGGGTTCGAAGAGTTTTGAGAGCACTTGATCCTGATAATTCAGCATTACGGTGGGGTCTGATGACCTATAGGAGGGCATACAGTGTTCCTGGACCAAATGCACTATGGCATATCGATGGGCACCACAAACTCATAAGGTGGAAAATGGTAACCCATGGTGGTATAGATGGATTTAGTCGACTTATTGTTTATTTAAAGTGTTCCAACAATAACTTTGCTGAAACTGTGTTAAATCTGTTTATGAAAGCCGTTGAAACATTTTCTTTACCCTCAAGAGTCGGGGGGGATAAAGGTTCCGAGAATGTTGAGGTTGCCAGGTATATGGAGCAAACCAGAGGAAGAAATCGTGGCAGCTTTATTGCAGGAAGGTCCATACACAATTCTGAAATAGATTATGGAGAGATGTGTTTTACTCTGTAATTCAAACATATTACTCTGTTTTATTATCTTGAAAGCATAAGTGAACTAGATATGGAAAATCACATAGATATGCTTTGTCTTCACTATATATTCATTCCAAGAATTAATGTGGCATTTACAGAGTTCAAAAATGCATACAACTGCCATAGCATGCGGACTGAGCACCACTGGAGTCCATATAAAATGTGGATCAATGGAATGATCAACCGTAATCGGCAAAACTCTGTTGGTAATTGTGTTTTTGAGTTGAATGATGACATTCATATATCAGATATCGAGACCTTTGGAATAGACCCCCAAGAAGCACCAGACCATGAATCATTTGACGAGGAACTGCATGATAATCAAGAAACATTTCAAATGCCTGGTTTGCCAACACCATTGGATTTGATCTTTGAAAGGCTAACATCATCAGTAAACCCTCTAGATTTAAGTGAAAATCTTGGGATAGACTTATTCAGAGCAGCAAAATTTATACTCTCTTTTAAACCAAGATGAATTGTAAAAATTGATTACTATCTAATTAATATGTTTGAATATTCTGACCGTGGATTACACTTGCTTGTCAAGCTTACACTTTAGAAATAAAACTTTGAACACAACTTTAGCTCCCTTGCTAATATATTCTAGTTTGCTTTGTCCATTCTGATGGGATTTGCACCCATATAAAAACTTGGCCAATTGCAATTTCAATCATCCTATCAGGATGTTCAGTTTTACTTTTAAAATACACCACTTTTTAAGGGATTACCAATTGTCCTGGTACTAGTTTATACGGATATAAATATGTACCTAAGAGTACACAATCTATTGCTGGTACTAAAATCATTTACCCAAATAAACATGTTCAGGTCAACTGCACCTTGCAGCATTGTGCATATTTTCTGTAGAAAAAGTTGACATCTTGCTTCATATTGAATGCATGATGAAAACCTACTTCAGTTATAAAGATACAAGCTTAGATGAAAATAAGGTTACTCTAAGCTCCTCCAAAATATTGTAGAGAAGCATAAAATTGTCAAGTGAACAAGTTAAGGTTTTAAAATGCCTTTAATGTACTAGAAGTCTTCATAAACTGTACAAGAATGTCACAAAAATAACTAGAAAAACTTCCATAGGACATGAATGCCTCATCCAAAGAACATTCCTTAGTATTGCAACATTGCATAAAAAAATGCACCTTTCTTTTTTAGTCCGAGATTGATTCATCCCATATAACAGCTGCATTAAGTCTCACTGTTTCAAGTTAATTATGTCATTTAGCAAATTTATACATATTTAAGTAAGTATGGTAAAAACTCGGAGATGTATTGATGTATGGAGTATTCTCAAGAACTTAATAACCTTTAATATTAAAGAACAAAATGAGGGTAAAATGTAAAATGTTTTCTTTATTTTTTATAAACTATATGTATTGGGTTTAAGTTTTGTGTTCTTGCATTTTATTGGTTTGTCAAATTCCCTCCAAATATTCTAGGTTATTCTGGTCACTCTTTTTCAAGATATTTTGCACTCTGCACTTATATGCGGGAGCTTGCCTATTCCCTGAGAATGGTATGCTTTTGTTTTTATGATCTATTGTTTATTTACAAAAAGTATGTAATGTCTATGAAGATATTATAAGCTTTAATAGTAATATATATATATATATATATATATATATATATATATATATATATATATATATATATATATTGTTAAGTATTTTAATTGCATGCACAAAATATAATTCAAAGGTGGTATTGGATTACGTATAATGAATGTAAGAGTTATCTCCCTTTATGCAGTATCGTGTATAACATTGTGCACTTTAATGATTTGATGATATTCTCAATATTGATGTTATATATTTCAGGGCAATGTTATTTAACTATACAATAAACAGAACGAACCCTAACAGGTGTTTTAATTCATTCAACATCAAATGCAGAAACCCTGTTACACTCCCACCAATATGCATCAGTGCATGAGTTTTGACGAAAATGAGTTTTTTCCTAATCTCTATAAAACCAGAATTAATATGAAGTCAAGGTCATAGGGAAGGTCAAGGTCAGAAAATTAAGTCACAGATTGTATCACTATGAATTTTGATAAAAATATACTGAGCAAAATAAGTTTAGCAATTGTTTTTCCAAAGGTATAATTTTAAAATATTTTCTTAATTGTTTTGTTTTGTTTCTACTTGAAATCAATAGAGATAAAGGTAACAAAAGACAAACTTGTTTTCTAAACTTGACGCGCTGAAATCGTGTCGTCCAACGTTGTGACAATTCAACAAAACAATAGGTTATGCTCGAACGCACACGGTCCGGGAAGGATTTTTTTCTTGAAAAACCTTTCGAGCACGCGTGTAAAAGTAAACCCGTCAGAAATTGCAAAAACGTCAAATGGGGAAACGACCAGGACTTTCCGAAAATGAACGTCAAAGGGCTACAGGGATGCTAACCGCTGGTTGCTCACAAAAAGATGTCGCTGAACACTTTCATGTGCATCCGTCCACCATATGTCGACTTTTAAACCGATTCCGGACAACTGGAAATGTTAGTGACCGGCAGCGCTCAGGACGTCCACGAAAAACGACGGTTAGGCAAGATCGTTTCATTGTTACTACGTCGAGACGTAACCGTTTCATGGCTGCTCCTAAAGTTGCAGACGAATTACGCCGTGCAACTGGAGTGAGGTTATGTGGACAAAGTGTAAGAAACCGGCTACGTTCAGCAAATCTTCGAGCTAGAAGACCTCTCACAGCAGTACCACTAACTCAACGTCATCGACAATCCCGCCTCGCATGGGCCAACACTCATCGTCGCTGGATTCAACGACAATGGAACGAAGTATTGTTTACGGATGAGTCACGTTTTAACGTCGATTTTGCAGATGGAAGAGTTCGTGTTTGGAGACGCAGAAATGAGAGATATGACCCCGAAAACATCATCCAACGTGACCGTTACGGTGGCGGAAGTGTAATGGTTTGGGGTGGAATAAGCCAACAGGATAAAACTGAACTTGTGACAATAAAGGGAACATTGAATTCTCAGAGATACTGTGACGAGATCGTCGTTCCTGTTGTTGTTCCCTTCTTGCGTCGAGGAAATGCGAGCATTTTCCAGCAAGACAACGCCCGTCCGCACACCGCACGACACACACAAGATGTCCTTCATCAGAATAATGTTGAGATCTTGGATTGGCCCGCGAGATCGCCAGATTTGTCTCCAATTGAACACGTTTGGGACATTCTTGGTCGTCGTTTAAGACAGCGACATAACGTCAATAACGTAGCAGAACTTACCCTTGCCCTGCAGCGTGAGTGGAACCAGATCACCATGCTTGAGATACGAAACCTTATAAGGAGCATGAGACGCCGTTGTGTGGCTGTTATTGCTGCAAATGGAGGTCATACAAAATATTGAAATTGAACGTGACTTT